ATATTTGTCATATTTATAATTAGGCTAATCAGGTTCTTTAGATACATACAGATTATATTCAGTATAGGTAGTATAATCTTCAACCTCTTCAAAGAGCTGTAGAAAATGGCCTTTAATCTAACCTAGAGTTCCATGGTAATGAGACACAAACATTTTTGGCAACACCGATCTACTCCCAAGAGAATGTTGAGCACCAAAGACACTCCATCTGGAGCCTTTCTTCTTGGCAGAACTGGCCTTTGGGCAAAGAAATGTCCATACCTCAACCACTGACAGAGATATCCATAAATGGATAAAACAGGACTGTCATGTCCTGCCAAGACAGGGTAAGATAGTTTTGAAAAGTTTCTTGCCTTTGAAAACGGTATGTCAGTTACACCAGGCCTCAACATTGCAAATGAGACTTTGGGTGATTGCCCAGGTAGTCAGTTGTCTCTGTCATTTGTTGCACATTTTGGAAGTTTCTTGATTGTACTTCTTGTTTACTCAAGTAATATTACTTCTCTTCTCAGATCTTTGATGGAGTTGAAGATTGGATAATTGTAGTTACCCTCCTCATGATTTAGCTAAACTTAATTTCAATACATTATTTAGACCCCTTGAAATAGAATGCTTAGTAAAACCTTTGTTATGTGTTTCTTGCTTAATATTGTTTATTGCTTATAATTTTATATTTGGTATCTGTTCCTATTGTATATGGTTGTATTGGGTTTGGTTCGACCTTGTTTAGACAAAAGGAGGAGATGATGGGGAAGCTCAGCCAATCACATCTGGCTAGGGTGTGGCCGCCTGGAGCCTGGGTAGAAAAACAGGGGTAGATAGGTTTCTAGAAGTGACAGCACTTCCGGTATGCACTCCCACCTTCCTGGGGAAGCCCCCACTTGTTTTCAAGGCCCTGCCCACATGCAGACCTTCAGGGATTCCCTGTCCGCCACTGACCCGCTCAGACCTCCCTTCTGCCCCTAATTTCTCACCTTCATGTTGGGGTGGTATGAGACACATGGTATCTACCCTGACACTCAGCCCTGCTAGGCACCTAAGCCAAGTCCCTGCTGCTCCGTCCACACAGCCCACCTCTGCCACTCTCCCTAGCAGGTGACAACCTCATCCCGAGCCTCCGTGTTCTCATCTGTAAAGGGATGATCATGGATCCTCATGCCCACCACCCATGAAGTGAAGTTAAGAGGGTGACCATGATGCAACAGCACTGGGCAGGATGGTGTTGGATGCACAGCAGAGTCATGGCTCCTTTAGGATGGGGTCACAGTGCGAGAGAGAAAGTCAGGCTCTACTGTACTGGAAAGGCAGAGTGAGAAGCAGCATCTGTGGACAGAGATAGGTCAGCTCTGGTCTCTGCCATCGCAGCATCTCTGGTCTCACCCCTCTTTGAAAGTGGTCTCAAGCCTGCTGAGCACCTCCATGTAGCACGAATTCTAATTGGTCTTAATTAATAAAAACCGGAGCTATCAGGGGTGAAAGCTGAAAGATTAGAGAAGCAGAGTGGCCAGCCACTAGAGAGTTCTTACTTCTACCAATGTTTACCAATGCTCACACCAAAGTTGGGGTTCCTGTCTCTATGAATCCTCAGACTGAATGCGCTGAGCTTCCATCTCCTCCCACCTTATATTCCTCTCTCCACCCAGCCCTATCCCTTCTTGTCTCCACCTCCCTAGTGCTGAAGTTAAAGGTGTGTGACTCTCAAGTACTGGGATTAAGGTGTGAGCCACCACTGCCTGGCTCTGTTTCTCTTTGAGACTGGATCAACCTCATGTAGCCTAGGGTAGCCTTGAACTAACAGAGATCCTTCTACCTCTGCCTCCTGAGTGCTGGGATTAAAGGTGTGCACCACCACTGCACCACCTGGCCTCTATGGCTAACTAGTGACTTACCCTGCACTCCGATCTTCAGGCAAGCTGTATTTGTTCAAGCACAAACAAAATATCAGCACACCACCTCACTCACAGGACTTCTCAAGAAGAAGGTTGATATCTATCACATGGAAGAGGTGAGTCGGGGATAACCTGATTATCTTGGGGGGAAGAACGGATGATACCTGTGATGATGCCAAAGGCTGGGTGCCAGGGAGGACCAGGAAGCCAGGTCTGGACTCCCACCCTATGCCCTCAAGTTATGGTGGCTGGAAATCAGGCGACAGGTGAATTTGGACGGTGGGGGTCACAGGCCTGAAGGTGTGACTTCCTCTGAAGGGCCAGGGGTACGGGTGGGACAATTCAAGGGAGCTTGCTGGTGTGACCCCCCCTTGCCATGTACCGCCAGTGCAGCTGGGCAGATGTCCCCTGTCAGTGTGCAGCAGCAACCTAGAGGAGGTCCTCCAAGGGAGCCTGGCTGGAGAGAAGCGGGTGGCAAGACCGGTTCAGGCCGGCAAGGATAGAGTGGAAAGAGAACGGGGTCCAGCGGCCGCCGGCACTGAGCAGGGCTCATGCTGAGGGAGGGGAGATGGGAGCCAGCAGCCAGGGAGGGTGTCTGTCTAGACACTGTGTGTACAAGTGTCCAGAGCAAGTCTCAGTGGGGTGGGTGCCCACCTCATGGGAGTTGTCACGGCCTCGCCCTATGACTCAGCTCTTCCACATGCCAGGCTGCCGGTCACCCTGGCTCTTTCAATCTGCCCATTTGAATCCCTCTATTCCAAACCCATTTCTACTCCGCTCACAGGGGTCAGATGGTCTCTTTGCCTACTGGTCACCATCGTTAGAGGGCCTGGGTTTAATCAGAGAGAGTCAGCAGCTAGGCAAACGCACTGCTGCCAAGCAGAGGCTGCAGGTCACGGAGACAGGCCTCAGGAGGGCAGATGGAGCTACTGAGGACAGTGATGGGGAACCTCCAGTGTACACCCTGATCCTCAGACCTCTGCACTCACCAGACCTTCAACAAGCCACCAACTTAGGGGCCCCCATCTCCTCCTGTGTGTGGAGCCTAGACTCTCTAGTCCCTAAAGAAGGCTGTGACACCTTCCTTGCATGAATGGTTTATGCTAAGCTCTCAGGAGAATCCTGGACAAGATTGTTACCAAGAATCCAATGTGGATGGCTGTTCTGTGTCTGTAATATAGCCACCTGTGGGTCCTCATGGCCCGACTTCCATTTGGTTTTGGATGTGGAGGGTGGCTGGATGTGGAGGGTGGCTTCTTGCAGGCACTTTGTGTCCCGTTCTCCTCTCCAAGGGACTCATCTACTTCTGGAGAGAGTTCCAGGTGACCTTTAACCTATAGAACTAGGTGCCAAACACCCCAGAACCCTTTGTCTCAGGCCTGAGGCTGCAAGGAAAGGCCCTACACTGCCAGGTAACAGTCCTACAAGTCATCTGTAGGACAGCCCTTGGCTCCCCGAATGTCATGACATTGTCTACAGGAGTAGAGCCCATGTGTATTCAGATAAAATGCAGAGGACAGACCTGGCCATGTTGTTCAGTAAGTAAGTGTACAGTCTAAAGTTGGCATCTAACGAACAGACATTGGTGGCAGAATTAACCATTTAGTGTGATGGCCTTGCAGGTCAGGGAAGGATGGTTGAACCCCAGAGTGAGCTATTTGGGGGTCAAACCTCACCATTTGCACCCCAGGTCCGAAAGGCTTCTATAGGGGCTGAGTGAGATGATCAGCAGTTAAAGGCACCTGCTGCCACGCTTGATGGAGTTCAGTCTCTGGAATGTACTCACATGCCTTCGAACACATATACACACAAAATAAATAAAAGATTAAAATAACAAAAAAAAAGGAGCTGTATCCTCATTTGGTCTTCGATCTGTTGGAAGTTCAGATTTTAGAACCCAAGGAAATATCACTGGCCATGTGTGGCACCGCAGGGACCTGTGTCCTCTTGCTGGCCCTGTTAGCTTTCACTACAGGCACGAGACCCTCACAGCATGAGTCCTGCCTACAGTGAATGCAAATGGACCAGCAGTTGAAGTAACCAATCAGATCAGAGATACCCCAAGACAACCAGTCATGGTGATATATGCCTGCAATCTCAGCACTGGGGAGACTGAGGTAGGATGATCAAGATTCAAGGCTAACCTGGACTACAGTGAAATCTAAGTTAGCCTGGGCTACAGAACAAGACCCTGTTTTAAAAACCGGAGGCAGATATCTCTCTTCCAAACAACATTCCAGCCATCTGGGCTCCAGGACCAAGGAAAGGATGATTAGACACAGGGGTATGGCCCATACACCCCAATTCTCTGCCTCCCCACCCACCCTCTCACACACATATACACACTGCCTCACAACGCACCGCACAACTGAGGTGTTCATATGTGTGCACACATGTGTACGCTCACATGTTCTCTGGCCCCACTGCAACCATTTCTGTTTAGCATTTTCTCCAGCTCATCCTGCTAGGACCCTATGTAATCTGCCTGTCCCCCTGTTCACAGGACAGCAGCCCAAGGGGACAGCAGCAGGAGCAGGGCCTGCTGAGCTCAATCTACTCTCCACACTCGGGCCACCCACAGACATACACGTGAGGACCATGAAGGCTGGAAGAGGCTGAGGCTAGGCAGCCGAGGAGAAGCTAAGGAGAGCCAGTCAGTTCAGGGCAGTGGCAACACCCTGCAGGACAAGCATGGCCTCAGAGGGTCCAGGTAGCTGCTTGGTGTCTCTTGGGCAGGGAATGAAGAGAAACCCAGGTGGTTCAGGGGGACGAAGGCTGCAGAGATGCCAGAATCACTTTTGTTCCCATCCTGACTGGCCATAGCACAGGGACACAGACAGGGAGGCCCTGAAGTTCACTCAGGGCAGATGGCTTCCCAAAGGGCCATACCACAATGCCTTGTCCCATTAGAACCACAGAAGTACCTCCTCAGATTGCCTTGGCCACCAGCTTGCCTATGGGGCATGCCTGTTCACACAGTGCCTTACTTCTGGGCTACCAGGTGAGAGTTAATGGGGAAGGGCTTTTGTATCCTGCTGGTACTTGTGAGGGAGGGGGACAGCAAGAGAACCCTGCCTTCAGAGCTGAGAGTCAAGCAGAGCCCATGCCTACCTTGGCTGAGCCTGGGCCCTGAGTAGGTCCGTAGACTTGGATTGAGGTGCTGGAGGCCCCGTGGTTTGCAGGAGGGCAGTGGCAGGGCAGTGGCAGCAGCGTCCCAGTTGCCTAGGTGATGACATTGGAGTTACGGAAGCTGGGAGGCCTTGTGGCCAGCTCCAAGCCAGTGGGTGGAGCCTGGCTGGGAGCCCTGGGTCTGGGGACCAGCTAGTAGGCTTACAGGTGCTGGCTTGTGTTCATGACCCCTGCTCCTGGTGACCAATCTGAGGACACGCTCCCATTACCTGGGAAACTTGAGTTCAGGAGGTTAAAATCACAGAGGGTAGTTCCTGTTGGTGGTCTCAAGCACATTAAACAGAGCCAGAAGATGGCACAGTAAACCCATTTACACCTCGGTACCACCCCTCTCTCCCCTGATCAGTTCAGAATAAGCCCTGGGAACTCTGAAGTCTCAACAACACACCTCCACGTGTTGGTGGCGGCAAAGTACCTGCCCTTCTGCATGATAGGAACCATGTCTTTGTCCTGTTCACACCCACCCGTAACTCCAGTTGGTGTTGACCCGGGAGGATGGGCAGCCAGAGTGCTAAACTCAGAATTTCTATCTCGTGTTCCTAACCGCTAGTCGGGGGACTTCAGAGGTCCTACTACCCTCCTGTTGCAGTGTAGTTTGTGCTGATAAGCTATCGTGTGCCACTGAAGCTTTGTCAAAGCAGACTATGGGAACGGGGAGGGTCCCTTGGCTTCCCCAAACCTCTGTCCTGATATAGGCTGGCCCCCTGACAGCACACGGCCAAAAGCTTTTGCTGGGAGTGTGATGACACACACCTTTTAACTCCAGTGCTGGAAGGCAGAGGCAGGTGGATCTCTGTGAGTGTGCGGCCAGCCTGGTCCACAGAGCGAGTTCCACACCGTCCAGGCATAGTGAGACCCAGTCTCTAGAAGGCAAACCACTTCCAACGGACATTGCTACTGCTCTTCTCATGAGACAGACGTGAAACATCAAACCAGAAGCTCACGACATCCGGCAGAGATATCTGAGTAGCTTGATTGGTAGAACCAAAGTAACGTCATCAAGTCGGGGGGCTTAGAGACATCCAGCAGAACTGACAGGGGAAGTTGAGGCAGTCAGTCATAATCCCCGAGCATTAAAAGAGCGAGCTTCCAAGCTTCCCATTGTACTGCAGGCATTTTTAAGATTTTAGAAAACATGAATTATGCCTACGTGTGGGTATCGGTTATGTGCACGTGGGTGTATTCCCCTCGAGGCTGGAAGTGTCAGGACCCTGGAACTGAAGTTGCAGGTGGTTATGAGCTCTCTAATGTGGGTAGTGGGGACCCAACTCGAGGCCAGCCTGGTCTACATATCAAGTTCTAGGATAGTCAGGAACATATAGTTAAACTGTGTCTGAAAAATGAGGCAGTGGGGAGTGGCAGAGAAAGAGAGATGGATGGACTCAAACTCACAGAGATCCACCCGCCTCTCCCTCCCTATTGCTGGGATTAAAGACATTCACAACCACACCTGGTGAGAGCGTGCTTCTTTAATTAACTAAGCTGGCATACTAAACTGCCTCCTAAACTTCTGTGCTTAAACCACAGACACAAGCACCCCCCAGCCTCAAGCAGAGACGCTTCTCCTTACAATACACAGCGGTTAATATAGAGATCCACTTGCCCAAGATGCCGAAAAGAGACAGATGTGGACCCAATCCTAAACAAGTAGCCTAGATCCTCTCCAAGGCTCAGGGAACACTGAGAATAGAACCCAGAAGAGACTCAAGCATCTACTGCAATCATTAGCTTAACTCAACTTCACTTCCTCCACAGGTCACACAAGCCCAGCCCAATCAGCAATCAGTCAAGGAGGGGAGAAAAGGAGCTCAGCCCTTTACCTCTGAACTATCGGCTATTAGTGGGTTTTGGGAGATGGGGAGCCACGGTCTTCGGTTATGTACCCTGTGCTGAGCCCAGTGGGCTCCAATGGATAGCTCTGAACTCACAACCATAAGTCGGTCTGGCTATTCTTGATGGGTCACTAAGCCAACATAAGGGTGGATAGGTGAAAATAGTTAGTACCCAAGGCATAATATGTGAAAGTTCAAAATTAAAAATTATAAAAAGAAGAAATGTCCACCTTGTCATAAGCTACAAAGAAAAGTGGGTGGTGATCACGGCGAATGTAGGAAGCAAGAGTTCCAGAAAATGCCAGTTCAGAAAACGTTATCTGAGATGGCGGCGCTTCTCTCCTGGATAAACTCAAGCCCTACCCAGTGGCCAAGTCTGAGCATGGTGTAACAGGTGACGGACGCTTTGGAGGACAACACGCCCTGGGCAGACCCAGAAAGACCCATCACTGATGCTATCTCCTAATACCTTTCACCTTCCAGGGACCCAAGGCCCAAGAGGTAGGGCATGTGCGCATGCGCACGCACACACACACCACACACACACACAGACAGCTCAGGGATACTTGTGGGTATGGCTGGTGCTTTTCTGGGTTCTCTAGGAATAAGCAGGGAACTCAGCATCTCTGCTACATGAATCCATCTATTGAAGGACAAAAATGAGTGGGAAGATGGACGGGTGAGCGGGAGGACGGACGGGTGAGCGGGAGGACGGACGGGTGAGCGGGAGGACGGACGGGTGAGCGGGAGGACGGACGGGTGAACGGGAGGATGGACGGGTGAGCGGGAGGACGGACGGGTGAGCGGGAGGACGGACGGGTGAGCGGGAGGACGGACGGGTGAGCGGGAGGACGGACGGGTGAGCGGGAGGACGGACGGGTGAGCGGGAGGACGGACGGGTGAGCGGGAGGACGGACGGCTGAACGGGAGGACGGACGGGTGAGCGGGAGGACGGACGGGTGAGCGGGAGGACGGACGGGTGAGTGGGAGGACGGACGGGTGAGCGGGAGGGAGAACGGGTGAGCGGGAGGATGGACGGGTGAGTAGGTGGCCAATCACATCTCCATTTTTTTGTTTTGTTTTCCAAGACAGGGTTTCTCTGTGTAACGGTCCTGGCTATGCTGGAGCTTGCTTTGTTTCCCAGACTGGGCCCGAACTCACGGAGATCCACCTGTCTCTGCCTCCCGAGTGCTGGGATTAAAGGCGTGTGCCACCACCACCCAGCTTCCATTTACAGCTCAAGCCACGTCTCAATCTGTTTCCTGAACAGGTGACAGAAAGGCAGCCAACCCCAGCGCTAGGCAGGGAATTCAGCAATGAATTCAAGAGGCCAGGGTTAAAGATCTGTTCTCACCATGCCCCAGGCCCACGGAGGGTGTCCAGGTGTGGGGAGTGCTGATGAGTACAATGTTGAGGTGAACCTGGTCTCACCTGCTGTAAAGTTAGTAGCATCAAACAATGAGTGTTTCTTCCCACACGGGATTGGAGAACTGAGCCAAACTGGCTAAAATCGAGGTGTGGCTGCATGGGCTCCCTCCATTGCACAGAGGCTGCTGGAGGGACCACCTTCCGTACCTCTCAACTCTTCCAGCATCTAGCCACTGCTTCTTGAATGGCACCCTCTCCCCAGCTCTGCCCCATCTCTCTCTCTATGATGGCACTGGGTTGCCTGATTGATAAACCAGGATGACCACAGTTGTCACTATCCCTGCAGCAGGAGGAAAAGCACCTGGGGACAGGATGTGGTTGCCTTAGAGAGCGAGCACTCCTTTTTTGTCTCAGCTGAGTCTTCGGTCCTGGCCCCGCCAGCTCCTCAGCCCCTGCAGAAGTCCCGAGAGCAAGTAGGAGTTCAAGAAAGGATGTGACAGACACCTTGTGTTGACGCTGTTCGTTCGACATGAATGTTACCAATACCAGGAGAAGAGCTACTGAGGAAGTGGAGGGATTGATGTATCTAACATATCGTTCACGACGGAGACAACGTTCACCTCATCTGCGCCAGCAGAACATTGACTCTTTTCTGTTTTTTCGCTTCTGTTTTCACTGCCGCATTCATTTTCACAGACAGTGGACCTGGGTCTCCTAAACACAATCTTGGCCAAACCCTTGTGCCTCTCACTGCGTGAGATTGAGTCCCCTGAGTCTTACCCAAGATACAGGGAACAGGCGCTCAGAGAACAGGCACTAGGACATCACTAGACGTTGCCTGGCTTACTGAAGTTTCTGATGGTCCCTCGAGTGGCAGATCCTAAACGCCCCTCCTGCCCTACTATAAGACTTATCCCCACGCCCCTCCGAATGATACAAAGCATATCCCCGGAGTACTGGCTTCTGTGTTCTGCCTGGGATATCTTTTGCTGTGGTAGACTCAGTGACCTCCATATTACTCAAGAGGCCTGCACTTTGCAGGACAGAAACCTCAGCTTCAGACTGATGTCACTGAATGACAAAGGCTGATCTTACAAAGTTTTGGTTCTCGAGCCCCACAACAGGGCCTAATATACAGCAGGTACTCAACAATGAGCAAGAGATGAGTGATTTCATAGTGGCTTTGTGGGTGGGTGGATAGATGGACAGGTGGATGGATGGATGGATAGATGATGGATGGATGGATGATGGATGATGGATAGATGATGGATGGATGGATGGATGATGGATGATGGATAGATGATGGATGGATGGACAGACAGACGAATGGATGGATGGATAGATGATGGATGGATGGATGGATGGATGGAAAGATGGGTGGATGGATGATGGATAAATGGACGGATGGATGGATAGATGGATGGACCGGATGGGGCTTTTGATTCACGTAAGAACCATGATAATCAAGACAGTGCAAAGCAATGATGTGAGAAGGTTCATCCTAAGAATCAGGACTTGATAATTTAAATATATACATGGCTCAAGTGCTATGCTATTTGTCTACATGGATATTTTCTGGATACTATGAACTCTTGCACAGTCTAGGTGCCAGCCAGGGTTTGAGGAGAACAGTCCAGGGTTAACCCCCACTATAAAGTATTACTGTGACCAGGGCGGGAATGCAGGGCACATCTGGTCTGCAAGGTCCTTCAGGTGCCCTCCAAGTCCTGTGAAGCCTGGCACCTTGCTGGCATTCCAGGAGAACCCATGGCTAGCGGGGGAGACATTTCCTGTTACCTGATGAGAGCGTTCAGAAGTGAGATGGACACTCTGTTC